CCCTCGGCGCCCGCCCCTGGCCTCCTCCCGGGCGCCTCTCGCGCTGGGCTGGGCCCCCGGAGTGCCCCCTCGGCGTCCGGGGGGAGGCGGAGGAAGAGGAGGAGGAGGGAGGGGGAGGAGGATGGAGGAGGAGGGGGAGGAGGAGGAGGAGGAGGGAGGAGGAGAGGGAGGAGGAGGAGGCGGAGGAGGGGAGGAGGAGGAGGAGGAGGAGGAGAGCGGGGAGGGAGGAGGTATGAGAATGAGGAGGCAGTGAGGACAGGAGGCCAGGAGGGGGGGAGGAGGGGGGAGGAGGAGGAGGAGGAGGAGGAGGAGGAGGAGGAGGAGGCGGAGGGAGGCGGAGGAGAAGGAGGAGGAGGAGGAGGAGAGGAGGAGGAGGGGGAGGAGGGAGGACGGACGGAGGGGATGAGAGGAGGAAGGAGGAGGAGGAGGAGGAGGAGGAGGAGGAGGGGAGGAGGAGGGAAGAGGATGCGGAGGAGGAGGAGGAGGAGAGGAGGAGGAGGAGGAGGAGGAGGAGGAGGAGGGGAGGAGGAGAGGAGGAGGAGGAGGAGGAGGAGGAGGAGACGAGCGTAGGAGGGGTCCTCGGTCCTCGCCTACCCTACAAGCCCCGGGGCCCTACGGCCAGGAGCAGGGGCGGCGGGGAGCGGCGCGCCCGTCGCGATGTCGCCACTGTCGTCGACGAACAGCAGCGGCGGAGCGCGGGCGCAGTCTCTCGGGCGCATTCGATGAGCGGAGGAAGAGCACTGGCAGGGGCACGCACTGGCAGGGGCAGCGCTCGGGAGAGACGGACGGGGGGAGAAATGAGTCGATGGCCGGATCGGGACAGAGCAGGAGCGAACAATCACAGGGATCAAAGGGCAAGGCGCATGCTCGGGCGTGAACAGCTGAGGGCATGAGTCATGCGGCCTCACAGGCAGCAGCCGAGATGCGCGATGGGCATCACCAACAATCAAATCTCGGCGGTGAGCAACAATGGGAGAGGGAGCAGGTGGGGGGGCAAGCAGCGGCAGAAGCAAGAATCGCGAGTGAAGGACCAGGAGGGGTGGTAGGAGCACTCTGCAAATCAGAAAAAGGACGATTGGAACAGATACTTCTGGATATTCTCCTGCGGACAGGGAGGGGAAGGATGCGAGGGGGAGCAAGGGCGGTGGGCGGCAGGGGCAGCGACGAGGGGTCGGGTGGACTCACGCACCCCCAGGGAGTCGTCGGCGCCCTCGAGCCGAACGCGGCAGCTGGCGGCGAGGGGGCAATCGGTCAGCACGACGAGGTAGGGGTCGACAGCGCCACTGGAGCACACGTGGGAGCTGGAGCCGAGCACGTCGCTGAGGCTGACAAGGCAATCGATCCACTCGTGGTCGCCGAAGTCGATGGACTGACGCCAGACAGTCCAGCGCGCGGCGACGCGTTGCCCGAACACGACAACGGGACTTGCGATCTAACGCCAAGGCGAGGGTCGCCCGTCTCGAGGCATCCAGCACGTGACGACGTTGAGCCCGAACACGACAACGGGACTTGCGATCTAACGCCCGCGGCCAGCAGGCCATCGACCAGGCGTCCACGGCGTGGCGACGGTGGGCCCGAACACGACAACGGGACTTGCGCTCTAACGCCCATGGCGGGAGAGACCACCGCGGATCCGTCAGCGAGTGGCGACGGCGAGCCCGAAAGCGACAACGGGACTTGCGACCCAACGCCACTGCAAGCGCTTGACGAGGAAAGCGGCTCGTATCCAGCAGGCGGCGACGGTGAGCCCGACACTCGCGACGGGACTTGCGTTCTAACAGAACGTGTAGAAGTCGAGGACGATGAGGAGCTCGAAGAGCCACAGGCAAGACGGTCATCATCACTGACGTCACGGTCACCATCACTTGTGTGCCACAGAACACAGGGGTGGCCCTGAAGTTATCGTCGTCAATCACTTCAACGTCAGACTCGGGCTCCGCGAGCGACACGGCGCGGAGTGCGCAGAGGACGCTGGAGGCAAGACCAGCGGGGTCAGCCGCGGGGTCGCAGAAGCCGTCGCGAAGATGACGATGAGGATGATGAGCAGCGCGGAAGACGAGGTAGGAGTAGAGAACGCCCATGAGCGGACAAGCACCGCGGCCGAGCCATGTTCGCGGACCGCGCGCCCGCGAGGGCGCAGGAGGCCTGCTCGGGGGCGGACAGCGGCCAGTCCTCCAGGCGGCGAGCGATGTGGCAGGTGTTGCACGCTGCCGCGAGGTAGTGGAACGCCGCGATGTTGGGGTCGAGGGGGCCCCAGCGCAGGAGCGCAGGGAGCGGGGCTGGTCTGGCGAGATCGCGCTGGGCAGCACGGCGCGGAGGCCTGCAGCGGGCATAGCGGCGAAGGTCATCATCGGCTTGGCATCCGAATGCGCGGGCCCTCCTTCCCAGGGGGTGCAGATTGCGGCGGGGGGCGAGCCAGCCGTCGGCCCGCGCGCGGATCGTCGCCCGCGCCCAGGGGAAGGGGGAGAGGCCAGCGAAGCGGCGATGCGGTCCCAGGGGGGGCCGGGCAGCGCGGCGGCGCGGCGGGGAATGAGCTTGCCCGGGCGGAGGACCAGCAGCGCCACCAGCGGTGACGGTGCGGGGGCCAGATCACGGAGCGCCGCATGCGCCGCGCGATGAGGGCGAGGGCGGGCGCTGGCGGGGGGGGGCAGCTCCTCGCGAGCGGCCGAGGCACCAGGGCGGGGGCCATGAAGCGTAGGCAGGCGAAGGTGAGCGCCCAGCCGCCGCCCGCTCCAGCATCTCCATGAAGGCCCCCGGCTTCGAAAAACCATGGTAAGGACGCGACGACGCCAGCATCTCCAGAGTGCGCCACGTGTCATTGATGTTCACGGCGTCCCGAATACGCTCCAGAATGTCAGCGTGGACTTGGAATGTCACCAACGCAGCGCGCGCGAGGCTCGCGCATCCCAGGAATGCCCACCTTGTCACGCGAGGTCCGCCCCAAGTTTGGAGCAAGAGCCGGCACGAGAGCGGGACTGTGCCAAGGGCGACGCGAAAGGTCTGCGCCAGCGCCGTGAGCTCCTGCTTCCAAACAGAGGACGGCATGTCACATAACTGCGCGACATAGAAGAGAGCGGGTACAGCTCGCGAGCAATATAGAACGGCCGAGATGCTGGGAGGGGTGATCCCGTGGCCGATGACTTGAGCCCGAGCGCGCAATTTGGCAACAGGGTCACGCCATTGGCGGTCAACCGCAACTGCAGGGCCCAGCCACAGGCCTAGGTGCTGGAGCTCAGCCGCGATTCCAAACTCGGCCCACGGGGGGGGCCCACTTGCGAAGTTGAGCGGCAACCTCGGCCGCGAGCTCCACCGAGAAGGGCCCAGATAGGGGGGCCAGGAGGCACTTGGGGACCCTGAGGTACAGGTTGGCCAGCAAGGCCACCACGTTCATCGCGCGGCGCACGGGGGCCAGATCCCTCACGGACCTCACCACGCCATCGATATCGTCGGCACAAGCCCACGCGAGGCCGCGCCCGACCCCGCCCAGATCATGAGCGAGGTCGACTTGGAAGACCGCCGTCGATAGGGCAAACAACGACCCCGAGAGAGCACGCGCTTGTATGATCCCACTGCGCAGCCAGAAGATCGGCGCGAAGTGCCCGCGCGACGAGGCCACCCCCTCCACCGCAGAGTAGAGGAAGGAGGCGAAGGCGAGGAATAACAAAGGGAGGCCAAGGGGCTGAAGGATGAACTTCGTAAGCTGCTGATTCAGCGGCGGGAAGGCCTGGCCGAAGTCGAGCGAGAACAGGAGGGGATGTCGAGGGACTGCGGGGGCAGGAGCGACAACTCACGAGCATGCGAGTCGAGTCCCAAGACGTTGATCCCGAAGTTTCGGCCGCGCACAAAGCCACGCTGGCAGGGGGGGGGAACTCGCTGAACGGCAACTTGAAAGGCCCGACTCATCACCGCCGACAACAACTGAATATCGGTGTTTCGTAGGCCAAGCACTCTAGCTTTTTCGGGCGAGCGAGTGCATTCACCATCCCTCAGCTCATCATCGGCCACCGCCTCAGGGAGGAACGCCTGACTCGTCACAGATGCGCTGTCGAATAGGGCTTGACCCCCACCCGCCCAATCCAATGCCGACATCAGAATATGCAGACCGAGCGGCAGGGCTTCCCAGGCAGAGTAAGGTAGCCCATCCATGCCTGGGGCAGAGTCTTGGGCCGCACGCAGGGCCCGCCGCGGCGTGGCCGGGGACGGCGGCGGGGGGTCCGAAAAGCCGGTCTCGGAGACCCACTGCGGCACACGTTCCCCGGCCGCTTCCAGGTCCCAGGATTTCTTCGGGAACGCAAACTTCCAATACTTAGCCAGGGCAGCCAGTCGCCCACCAGGGTCCACGATGACGCTCGAGTCAGGAGCACGAATCGACGTCAGTGATATCCGACGCGACAGAGGAGACCAGACACGCGCTTTGCGTTCAAGCGCGCGCAATTGCAGACGGGCGCCGCGGGCAGAGACGGATCCGCTCAGCCTGGCCTCCACCACTTTCCGCTGGGCATCGAGGGCTTCGCGCTTCATCTTGGGCGACCGCTCGGCAGACGAAGGAGGGCGCACCAGACGGACCTCGGCGCCAGAGACGACAATGTGGCCAACACAACAGGGTGGGATTCGAGCATGCGTCGTCTAGTATCTTGTCTCCATGCCACACGAGCAATCATGCGAGACACTTGTAGAAGGGCGCGGCCACAATCAGGCTTCTCTCTGAATAACATGTCACGGACTTCAGCGGCAGCGATCCGCATCAGATGCTTGTAGTGTTCCAGCTGGAATGGAGGGGGCATCCGATCCTACTGGGCGGCCTCCACGAGCCCGCGCAATCGTCGAACAAAGACAGGATCACGGCATATGCGACGAGGGATCAGACGAGCAGAAGCAGGGCGGGCAGAACGCGAGACGATGGGAGCAACGACTGCTGCGCGGTCAGATATTTTTGCGTCCGACACCGCAGCCGCCGACCCCGCGGCGGCAAAGGAAATCTGCAACTGGCACCTGCCAACCTTGCAGCGAGCACGAAGATGCGGCCCAGCACGCGGGCCATTCCAGACGCGACCTCGAAGCGCGCGGGCTCGCTGCCCTCGGTCTCCAGCATGTCCGCGAAGGCCGACCGCCAGGCAGGGGCGCCTGCGTGATGACGTCGACCACCCCGCCGAGCGGCAGGAGCAGGAGCATGTGGGTCAAGGGCGCCCTCGTCGTTGACGTTGAAGTCGCCGTTGTCTATCGCCAGCACCTTGGACGGGCCCTCGCGCGCTTCCCCCGGCGCGCGGCGAATGGCAGCGCGCGCCGCCTGGATCTCGCTCGCTCTCAACTCGTGGTTGTGGACGTTGAAGACGCGCATGCGCCCGCGAGCGGCCTCGAGGACAACGTGGAGTGCGCGACCAGGAACCAGAAACACGGCGAACCAGAACAGGGTCACCAGGGAGGCGGGCAAGAGGAGGGAGAGGAACAGCGACGCCACCTCGAGAGCGAGCTGCCTGAGTGTCGCCGCAGAAGCAGGAGACCACGGTGGTGCGAGGCGCGACAGAACGCGCGAATTCCTACAGCTGCAGGGCACCCCGGTGGACCCCCTGAAGCGAGATGATAGACTTGGAGAGGCCGATCTTGGACAGATACTACATTCCAACGACGCCTTCGACCCGGCATACTGCAGGAGAGCCCTGCAGTTCCATGTGGCCACTCGCAGAGCAGTGCCCCACCCCCCTGAAGGTGGGCATTGACAACGCGAGAGCAGGCGGGAGGCGTCAGAGGCACCACGCGGATGCCCCAGGGGGGTCGGATATGGAGGAGGTGACGCGCAGCATCTGCTCCTTCGAGACGCCGTGCTTCTCGAGCTTGGCAGCGTCCCAGCACAGGACAGGAGGAGCATCGCCAGCAGCAATTTCCACTTTGAGAACTTTGTCTCAACTGATGGAGACCACGCCGCGCTCCCTGTCGGAGAACGAATGAAGGTGTGGGCATGCCTCTGATACCGCAGCGCGGCACCGTCGCAAGGTGATCTCGGTCTTGATCTGGCGCGGGGACTTGTCTGGGTCGATGCGGGCCCTGGTCTGCGCGTCGCTACCAGGGGTGCCAGCGTAGAATTATCCCCAGTCCCTGCCGTTCTTGAGGCCTGCGAGGGCCCGCAAGACTTTGCGGCCAGCGGGGGCGACGAGGCTGGTGAAGTGGGCCGCGAAGCGCTTGCACGGGAGGTCGCCCTTCGCGTCGATATTGGACTCATTCTGGTCAAACCCAGCATCCGAGAGAAAGGACACCAGGCTCTTGGACGTGGCCTCGAGGGAGGTCGGTCCCTGTGCGACCGCGATAAGGAGCGCGCCATCAGGGTCCCTGTCGAAGTCTTGTGGCACCTGCGGGGCAGGTTGGGGTCGCTGCTCAGCGACAGCAAGATGACGCCTGAGTTCCTCAATCTGTGCACGAAGCTGGGCAAGACACCACCATGCGAAGCAAGCGCCGCTCGCAAGTAACAAGCTTCGCAGAGTGTTCATCGATCTGGGGCTGGAGCCTGCGTGCGAGGGCGTCGACCTGGGGGCGCATGGCGTTCTGAACCTGCTGGTCAATCGCCTCGGACTGACCAGAGACCTGGGCTCGCAGCGCGTCGATAGAGTTGAGGAGGACTGCGTGATTGGCGGCGACTGTCGTGCCGACGGACTCCGCGACCGAGGCAGCGAAAGCCTGACGCATGCCAGCGAACTCGTCTCTGCACAATTGGCGGAGGTAGTCGTCGCTGGTCCAAACATCATTATCAGGGTGCTCACCGTCAGCACCAGGAGAACCTGCGCAGCACGTTTGCGGGGCGGTGCGGGGCCAGCACCTTTGCCACCTTTGCCACGGCCGACAGACTCCTGGGACGGGATTGTCGGAGCGAGGTCGAGACTCTCCAGCAGGGCGGGCGAGATCGCATCTCCCGAGGGGCCATCAGCCATGCTGGGCTGGTTGAGCGGGAAGGACAATGGGTGTGCAGGGGCCCAAATCCTGCAGCAGAGGCCGAAGATGGATGCCAGGCACAGGTGCTTTGCTCGCCGCGGGCCAGCGGTATCCAGTCGTGCCAATGCGGGCTCAGCCCGCGACAGCATGGGTCTTGAGCCGAAATGGCAACGGAGGAGGAGGAGGAGGAGGAGGAGGAGGAGGAGGAGGAGGAGGAGGAGGAGGAGGAGGAGGAGGAGGAGGAGAGGGAGGAAGAGGAGGAGGAGGAGGAGGAGGAGAGGAGGGAGGAGGAGAACGAGGAGGAGGAGGGGAGGAGGAGGAGGGGAGGAAAAAGAGGAGGAGGAGGAGGAGGAGGAGGAGGAGGAGGCCGTGCACACCTCGGGGGCGCCCCATGCTCTAGCCGGGTTCCCCCACGGGGCTGCCATTCGGTGCCCGCGCGCCGTGGGCGCCTCGTGGTGCGCGGGCTGGCGGCACCAGGCGCGCACGCGTGTATTGCCTCACGTGGCCTCTCCCCCACATTGGTTGTGCCACGCAGCTGGCAACACATAGATTGCAAGCCATGTGCTGCACCGCATGGACAGAATGATGTATCGTTCGCGCATGTACTGCACAGTGTGAGTTTGCACCGCGCACATCGCATGGCACACACACACACACACACTACACATGATTTGCAGCAGGCCTGCACACGGCATCGTAGAAACTGTGCCTCCTGCCTGTAGGCATGTGTATGTACGTGTATACGTGTGCACACGTATACACTACAAGACATGGACTGCCGAGGCACACATTGCATCACCAATCTTGCACAGAGGCCGCGAAGAGATGCCCAGGAGGCCCTGAGAAGCCCCCGAGAGACCCCAGAGACTCTCCGAAAAACCCTCCAAAAGGCCCGCCCCCAGGAGGCAGATCAAGTAACCCAAGAGGGCCTCTCGGAGGCCTTTGATCAAAGGCCTCGCCTCGGTAGCGGGTTGCGCCGAAAGCCACTAGATCCGCCGCCCCCTCTTGCTTCATCACATGGGCGTCTGGCATGCCAGAGTTTCAGCGCGTTGCCTTTTCGGAATCTCCTGTCACCTTGGGCCTAGCCCGCCAGCCACCCCAAAAGGCCCGGGCCAGAGATCTCCCGTTGATCAGACCGCCTCACCAGGATGGCCTCAAGCCCTCCAGACGGAGGTGGGCGATGGCCCAGGAGGCGTTGCCACCACCGCCCCGCCCCCACCCCTCTTGCGTGGCTTGGGCGGGATCCAACACCCCCGACGCATTCTGAAAGTGTAGCTTTAGTTCTGCAGCTTGAATATCCCACCCATACAAAATCGGGTTCCCATAGATCCCGAGCGGCATGCAGCTCCCGCAGTTCGAGTGCGCATTGGCGTTGGCTAGGGGATATCCGATTTATTGTGAGAACGTCTCTTGGCCGTTGTGAAAGAAATGCTACGGCCAAGCAAGCCCCCAAGGTCGCCCCAAAGCGGCCTCAGAGGCCCCCAAGAGGCCCGCGAAACGGCCCAAGAGGGCCCCGAGAGGGCCCAGCAAGCCCCCCGAGACGGCCCCAAGATGGCCTGCTTTCCTTTCCTCTTCCTGGTGTTCCCCCAAAGTGTTCCTCAACGGCTGGGGGAACACTAAAGGAAGAAACAACTAAATGAACATAAACTTTCGACGGTCCGCGCGGATTTCTTTGATCTGCACTGGAGCCCCCTCCCTGGCGCGCGGAGCGCGCCGAGGGCGGCGCCGGAGGCGCCGCCAGGGAGCCCCAGCGCAGATCCAAGAAATCCGCACGGAGCGCCGAAAGTTTATGTTTATGGCGCTGTGTCTTCTTCGAACTTCGGCTGGGGAACACACATAGTCCAGTAGCTTGGCCAGACTTCGGCCCAGCGTTTGGCCGCGTGGGCATGTCCAAAAGGCGTGGGGCGGCGGTACAGTCGGGACCTTGACCTAAGGAACCCTAAATAAGGAACGAGGCCCCTTTTTTCCATTAGTTAAACTTCGACTTCCGATCGAAAACATCAGGAAAGCCTGAGGCAAGCTGCGAAACACTCAAGGAACGCGGAGCCCCTCCCCAACGAAAGGGCTCCTTCCTCAAGGGCCCGACTGTATTTCGCCGCAGGCGTCTTCAGTCATGAGGAGACATGATAGACAAGCGCGTTCCACTACTCGCAGAGTAGCTACTCGCAAATGGCCCGGATCCGCCGCGGGAGTCCTACAACCCAGCACACCAGATCAGTCGTGTGTTTTCCAAAACGGTTTCGAGCAGGCTCTCTTTGCGAGTAGTGGAACGCGTTCGGTGAAATACAGCGGGGGCGTTGACCTAAGGAACCCTAAATAAGGAACGAGGCCCCTGCTTCCCATAAGTTAAACTTCGATTTCCAATGGAAGACCTCAGGAAAACCTGAGGCAAACTGTTAAACCACCGAGGCCCTCCCCAACGAAAAGGGTTCCTTCTTCAGCGCCCCGACTGTATTAGGAGCCGGATGAAGAGAAAGGATGGTGGAAGGGGCGCCGGGAGAGGGGACATCTTTGGGGGGGAGGAAGGGAGGAGGCTGAGGAGGAGGAGGAGGGCCCAACGCTCACCAAGGCATGGAGATGGGGTCGGCATGGACAGTGAGATCCTGAGGATCTTGGCGAGCCGCACCAGGCGTAAGGCGCTGAAGCCTTTCCAATTCGAGACGGCGCCGCGCGAAATAAGGTTCACTGTCGGTATGAGCACCGCCTCGGGGATTGAGAAGGGAGATGGGGGAGGAGGACGAGGAGGAGGAGGAGGAGGAGGAGGAGGAGGAGGGAGGAGGAGGAGGACGAGGAGGAGGAGGAGGAGGACGAGGAGGAGGAGCACAGCCTCGATCAGAGACCCAGCCACACACACAAGGTCGAATACGAACCACCTGCTCTGCAGGCACGCCTTCGTGGGCGTCGTGGCGAAGAGGCGCAGGAGCAGCTCGCATAAGAAATAGGCGCAGAAGAAATACTCGATGGCGATGTCCCCGGAAGCCTTCTCGAACAGTAGCATCCTGCCGTTTTTGTCCACGTCGACGGCGATCCAAATCGCCTGCCACACTGTGACCATCATGGACAGTGCACTAAAAGGGCCACTCCTCACCACCCTTTTTAAGTAATACCTCAAATAGGACTCCTTCATCAATTTCTGATCCTCCATGATGCTCTGCGTGGTCATCCTGTCCAGCCTGTGAGAGATCGTTGTTACAGACCTTAGCTTCTAGTCAAGTACACGGCCGACTCCGGCAACAATGGGAAGGACAGGAAGAAGATGGCGGACGAAGCACAGGGGATAGCGAAGCGGCAGGTTCGACCTGCGCCGGCGACAGCAACCGCAAGAAGAGCGACGACAAGAACAGCAGCCACAGCCAACCCTGAGGCCATGGTCTCGCTCGCCCCCTCTGCCACTGGCAGCCAGAGCTGAAACAGGGCTAGGATCGGGATAAATCGCTCCAGAGCGTTCCGGAGCGCTCTCAGCGCGTTCCGGAACGCTCTGGAGCGGCCGCGGCGCCCAATACATCCTCCAAACCCGCCGATTCTCAGAGATTTCGAGTTATCCCGATCCGATTTTGTCCCGATCTTCGCGTCGTTTTAAGAGCGCCCCCCCCCCCCGACCTCCTTAGCCTTTGCACCGAATGCCCAGAGCTCCGACCATGCTCTTTCCGCCCGGCACGGCGCGCCACCGCAATCCCTCTGTACTCCACAGCAGCCTGCCCCGCTTCCGCCCCGCCGCCAACCCTGCCCCCTCCCAGAGATCCGATGCCGTGAGTTTTTCAACACGAGGCCCGTGGAAGTCTCGACCCATTCCCCAGGATCGGTTTTCATCCTGACTCGTTTTTTGACGGTCCCGGGGCCCGGCGAGGGCCGCTAGAGGCCGAAACATGAGGAACACCTCCGTCTTGATTTTGTCACTGCGTTGGATCGCTGGGCCTCCGCGCCCTCCTCCACCACCAGCCCGCGCGCCTCCTTTGCCCGGGGTCCCTTGCCGCACGGCGCTGCACGGCACCGCAGCCCCGGTCCATCGCAGCGGTGTCCCCCCAACTGGCTCCTCCTCCTCCTCCTCCTCCTCCTCCTCCTCCTCCTCCTCTTCCGTCCTCCTCCTCCTCCTCTTCCGTCCTCCTCCTCCTCCTCCTCCTCCTCCTCCTCCTGCTACTCCTCCTCCATCCTACCCCGCAACTGGCTCCGCTCTTCCCCGGCCGCCCGCGCACCCCGCGCCACGGAACCACAGCTCCGCTCCACCGCGGCCAAAGAACCTGCTGTTGGATTCTGGATCCTCCCTTCGTGCAAGAGCCATGGCACACGTGCACTTTGACATTTGCCCAGGTCATCCTTTTCTTCATATTTTCCTCCTCCTCCTCCTCCTCCTCCTCCTCCTCCTCCTTATCATCATCATCATCATCATCATCATCATCATCATCATCATCATCATCATCATCATCATCATCATCATCATCAGCATCATCATGATGATCAGCATCATCATCACCATCATCATCATAATCATCATCATCATCATCACCATCATCAGCATCATCAGCATCGTCAACATATCAGCATCATCATCAGCATCGTCAACCTCATCAGCATCATCATCATCACCATCCTCATCCTCATCCTCATCCTCATCCTCATCCTCGTCCTGATCATCATCATCATCATCATCATCACCATCATCATCATCATCATCATCATCATCATCATCACCATCATCATCATCAGCAGCAGCAGCATCATCAGAATCATCACCACCACCATCATCACCATCATCACCATCATCACCATCATCACCATCACCACAACCACCATGATCATCATCATCAGCAGCATCATCAGCATCTCCATCCTCCTCCTCCACCTCCTCCTACTCTTCCTGAATAAAGGGGGGGCCATGCTGCGACACTGCGCCGGTGGCCTCCAAGCTGGACCTGTGGACGCTTGGTGAGAAGTCTTCGAACGCGGAAGGTCCCGATCGAGTCAAATCGTGGCCAACTGCTCCTCAGCCGACGCAATAGGGCGCGGGCCCGCTGCCGTTGACCTGATCCTGGCGCGTCTTGTAGTTATCCATCGACTCGAAGCGAGGCTGGCCCGTGCGAATCTGCATCTGGATCGCGTTCGAGTTCCGCCAGATCCGCCTCCACGTCGTCACTCTGCCGGTGCGGCGCACATTCCTGCAGCGCCCCTGCATGCCACCCACCTCCACTTCCTTCCCTGCCTCTCTCACTCCTCCCCCCGTCCAGCCTTCCACCCCTCCCTCCTCCCCTCTCTCCACTTCGCAGCCTCCTCCTCCTTCTCCTCTGCCTCCGCCTCCGCCTCTGCCCCAGCCTCCTCCTCCTCTTCCTCCTCCTCCTCCTCCTCCACCACCTCTCCCTTCCTCCTCCTCCTCCTCCTCCTCCTCCTCTTGCTGCTCCTCCTCCTCCTTCTCCTTATCCTCGTCCTCCTATTCCTCCTCCTTCTCCTCCTCCTCCTCCGCCCCTCCTCCTCCTCCTCCTCCTCCTCCTCCTCCTCCTCTCCTCCTCCTCCTCTTCCTCCTCCTCCTCCTCCTCCTGCTCCCCTCCTCCTCCCCCTCCTCCTCCTCCTCCTCCTGCTCCTCCGCCTCCTCCTCCCTCTCCGTTTTCTCCTCCTCCTCCTCCTTCTCCTCCTCCTCCTCCTCCGCCATGTCCTCCTCCATTCCTTTTCCTTGAAAATAACTTCTCCCTGTCGCACCCCGAGACCAGTTTTTAGGGCGGACTGGGCGTTTTGCCTGAGACTTCCCTACCATTTATGAACCTGAAACTTAAACATTGGCACGAGCTTCACAGATGGAGGGCGGGTGGTTTTCAAAATGTGGCTCTCGCCTCGGCGCCGCGCGCATTCGTTTTTGTTGTTGTTTGATGTGTTTGTTCTCTCTCTCTCTCTTTTCTCTCTCTCTCTCTCTCTCTCTCTCTCTCTCTTTTTTTCTTTCTCTCTGTCTCTCTCTCTCTCCCTCCCTCTCTTTTGAAAATGCAAGCGTTTCACTGGTTGAAGGCGGTCCCTTTTCCAAAATTTGGCTTTCGCCTCAGCGCCGCGCACATTCGTTTTAAACATCTGCATGAGCTTCACGGCTTGAAGGCGAATCGTTTTCAAAATGTGGTTCTCCCCTGGGCGCCGCGCAAATTCGTTGTTTAAAAAAAAACTTTGAATGAGTTTCACGGATTGAAGGCGGGTCGTTTTCACTGTGTGGTTTTCGCCTTAGCGCCGCGCACATTATTTTGAAACAGTTGCAAGAGTTTCATGGATTGAAGGCGGGTCGTTTTCAAAATATGGCTCTCGCCCGAGCGCCCCGTGCATTCGTTTCAAAAAACGCGAGGGCCCTCGCGGATTGAGGGCGGGTGGTTTTCAGAATGTGGCTCTCGCCTTAGCGCCGCGAACACGGTTGTTGTTTTTAAATGCAAGCGCTTCGCTGATTGAAGGCGGTTCCTTTGTCTAAATGTGGCTCTCGCATTTGCGCCGCGCACATTCGTTTTCAAAAGTTGCAAGAGCTTCACTGGTTCCCATGGACAACGTACCAGAAATGGTGTGTTGGAAGGATGCAGGATTATGCGGGTGCACCAATTATGTTGATTCGCGGTGTTGAGAAGTCGAAAATGGCGTTCTGGCACGATTCCAGATCGTCAAGACGCAGCAGTCACATTCATCCGTGGCGTTGGCACCCCGAGACCAATGTTTTGGCATGCTTCAGGATCTTCAAACGGTAGTCTTCCAACGAGGCAGTTAGTTCCATCAATGGAAATGAACCGTTGTATGGGGCCTGTAAAGAGGGAGCTTGGCGGGGGGGGTGAATTCCAACATCGTTGACGACTCTTGGGTTTGCACTGGTCCTCCTCCTCCTCCTGGACCTCCTCCTCGTCCTCCTCGTCCTCCTCCTCCTCCTGCTCCTCCTCCTGCGCTTCCTCTTCCTCCTCCTCCTCCTCCTCAGCCGCCGTTTCCTGCTCTAGCCACGCCCTTCGCGGCCCAGCAGGCACCCCACGCAGAGCAGCTTCCGCCCTCAGGGCACCTTCATGTCATGCCAACGCTGCTGGCCATCCATATTTCTCCCCTCGTGATCTTCTGGACGGCATTCATGCGATGGGCCGTGTACCCACCCACCACGGTGGCGCCACTCAACATGGAGAGATCGCGCCAGTTCAGCGCTGTGGACGGCGTCGCAGGGCCAGCGACGAGATGGAGGCAAAACGACACCGCCAGCGCCGTCGACCAGCTGCAGACGTACACACACCGCACCTCTCCTGGGGGGCTCACCTACAGCCACGCAGGGGTCGCCACTACGGTCAGCAACTGGTTGCGACTCAAGTGCATCACAGAGCTGCCCAGCCCACCAGCGAACATACAAGGCCGCGCAGGAGCAGTACACAGTCGAAGAGGAGCACTCGACTCGACCCACGCTGTCGCGCGCCAGCCACCGAGGTCGGGGCCCGCAAAGCAGCATAACGAGTGGGTCAAGACAATCTGCGAGACGCTCAAGTGGATCAACAAGGAGCTCTACGCTACGCCCACGGGCAGCATGCCCATCATCGGCCTCGGCCCGAACGACCATCACGGCCAGGACGGACGGCCCCCCCACCGCGCGCAACGTGCACGGCGACGCGGGCCCCACGGGCACCACAGGAGAAGCTGCAGCATCACTCCACAACATGCTCGGCGCCCACGGAACGCACACCCCAAACACTTCCTGGCACGCAGGCCCCACGGGCGGAGCACAAGGACAAGCCACGCGCTTAGACTACATCGCAGTACCCCAAGGACTACGGGCACATCCTATCTCTCACAGAGTATGGCGGCGCGCAGCCAAAGCACTCCAGCTCATCAGCGACTACCTCAAGCGCGATCACGCCCCGTTCATCGCAGCCGCCAAAATCACCATCCCTAACGCGTTCACCGAGCCGCAGCGGAGCTTTCGGGACTACGACAAGATGGCGCAGGCACTACATACGGGCAAGTACCGCAAGGATTTCATCACCGCGCGGGAGACGAATTTCGGCCAGTACCAGGAGCAGCTGCAGGACCTCACCAGCGCCAACACCACGGACGAACATCGGGAGCTCATCACCCGCCTATTGCAGGAGACAGCCGCGCCCCCCCCCCCCCCCCCCTCGAGGGCCAGCAGCGTAATCCCGACAACTATCGAGAGCTCCTGGAGGAACAACTACGACTCCTACAAGAACGCGCTCAGTTCAGGGAGGACATCATAGGCACCGCCCCCGCCATCGACAAAGAGTTCCAGAGCGAAGCCCTCTCGCGCGCCCTCCAGAAACAGAAGAAGCGCCACGAGGCCGCAAGGCGCCGCCCGCTCGAAGAGACCCCCTACGAGGCTTGGCAACGACGCGAACACGCAGAAGTGCATCGACCGACGCGACCTTCTGCAGGCACCTACCTCGGCAAGCGCAACCGCAACCACAGCTGCGCCACCAGAGCACGACCCAGACTACAAGAGCGGTCAGACCACACTGCACAAGACGGACAGCCTGGAGGAGTTCAAGTACAGCCAATCAACCCCAGCGAGGAGAAGCGCATCCTGAAGGAGAGCATCTACGCCTTCACCAACGAGCACTACCTGCAGACCCGACAGGTGCACGAGGACGCCAGGGACAACATTAAGCGCACCCTCTACGGCGTAGACAAGCGGCTCATGTACTTCAAGATATGCGCCTCCGTGCCAGAGTGGCCGCCGCCCGCAGAGACCTTCCCGATGATCCCAGCGCCCACCAACATCACCAAGCAGAAGTCAAAGAAGACAGGCGTGGGGATCGACGACGAGCCCGCCGAGGCACCCCTCTCGCAGGGATGCTTCGAGACAGTCATCAACCACGAGTGCCGAGTCGGCGTTGCACCCCTCGACGCACATCCCAACCAGAGTTTCTCCCTGGACAAGCAGAACGGCAAACCCACGACGCTCGGCCAGCGCATCCTTCACCCGCTTTGCCCTTTCTGGCGGTGCAGCTTCCGCCACCTCCAGTGCAAGTCGAAGCCATGGGCTCCACTATCACAAGCACTCGGGTGCTGGCCACACCAACGTCGCGAAGTACCGACGGCGGCCGCGAGCATCGTTGCATACCGACTCCAGCGGGCCAAAGCCTACGTCATCGCGGACAGCAAGGACGCCACCAACGCGTTCCCCAGCACCAACCACGACCAGGCCTCCAGCACTATCCCCGCCCACCCCAGCGTGACCACAGAGATCGAACAGCGCATCCAGAGCATACGTAGGGCCTGGCACATCATGGGCAAGTTCTCCTGGCACCGCAAAGTATCACTGCGCCTCCAGCGCATCACCCTCAACCGCGTGATCGGCGCCGCAGCCAACGGCAGAGGACACGGCGAGCAGTCTGGCGGACACGGAACGCTCGATCAAGCCCGAGAAGACTACGCACCCCACGGGCAAGGGCGGTCACAACAAGAAAGACGACAAGGCCGAGGCGGCAAAGGACGCGGACGGGGACGCCAATACGCAGTACAAAGCTGCGGACGACACCCAGGGCGAGGGCAACCCAGCAGCCGCGGCTGCAGCAAGACACCAAGTGCGCCGACAACAACGAGGAGGAGACGCCTACCAAACCAAGTGCGACCCAAAGCGGAAGAAGCTGCTCACTGTGCTGACCGAGCATGTGCTGGCCTACACACAGCAGATCGAGTGGGTCGGTTCCGCGGTGTACAGCACGTACCTGGTGCCCACGCAGACCAAGGTGATTCCAACACCGTGAGACTGAAGAAAATCTACGCCGAGAAGTGCAGGGAAGCGGACAAGGGACATGCGCACGGCCCACCAGAGGGCCACCTCTGCCCCACGCCTATCTCGACCCTCCACTCCGAGGACGCGGGCGCCAAGACGAGGACCCTTCCAGCCGAGCACGGGAGGTTCGAGGACCAGGTCAACGTAGCCACCGTGCTCAGCAAGGTCCAGTACCTGAAGCTCAGCACGCGCTACGACAACTACATGGCGAAGCTCACGACTTACATCGAGCAAGAACCGTGGCTCGATCCCGAAGCGGAGGAGGAAGCCAGCGAGGAGCAGATGAAGCAGGCCCACATCAAGGACAGCATCAACAGGGCGCTGACCCAGGTGGGGGCCACAGTCAAGATGGGGAAGCCTCCAGCGGGAGTCATCGAAGACGACCTGGCCGCATGGTAGGCTGGGCTATGAGAAAAAGTGGATGGCCGTTCGACTACGCCTCGTTCGACAAGTGATCGGCGCGCGTGGCGCCGCGATCACAATGAAGGTGCCGCTCTGAGCGGCGACGGCGGGGGGCACACTCATGCGGCTGAACGCACTGATCCGCCCCCCAAGGCCGCTCTATCTATCTACCTCCTCCTCGTCCGCATCCTACTACTCCTCCCCCTTTTCCCCCTTCTCCCACTCCTCCTCCTCCTCCTTCTCCTCCTCCTCCTCATCCTCATACTCCTCCTCCCTCCTCCTCCCTCCTCCTCCTCCTCCTCCTCCTCCTCCTCCTCCTCCTCCTCCCCCCCTCCCCTCTCTCCTCCTCCTCCTCCTCCTCCTGCTCTCCTCTCCTCCTCCTCCTCTTGCTCTTCCTCCTGCAATCATCCCCTCACCCCTCCTCCTCCTCCTCCTCCTCCGTCTCCTCCTCCTCGCTCCCCTCCCCTCCACTCCCCCATTCTCCCCCTCGTCCCCCTCCTCCCTCCTCCTCTCATCCTCCCTCCTCCAACTCTTCCCCCCTCCCCTCCTCCACCTCCGCCTCCTCCTCCTCCACAGCAATCCGCCTCGGTCGCCTCCCCCCCCCCCCCCCCCCCCCCCTCCCCCCTCCTCCTGCCTCCTCCTCCCTCTCCTCCTCCTCCTCCTCCTCCTCCTCCGCCTCCTCGTCGTTTTCCTCCTCCTCCTCCTCCTCATCCTCCTCCTCCTTCCTTCCTCCTCTTTCCTCGTCTCATCTGTATGCAACTTTTATCCTCATCCTCATCCTCCTCCTGCTCTTCCTCCCTCCTATATTCCTCATCATGCTCCTCTCCCATCCTCTCCCAACCCCTCCCCCCATCCTCCTCCGCCACACCTCATCCTCCACCATCACCGCCTCCTCCTCCTCATCATCATCATCAACCTAGTAACCTCCTCCGTATCCTCATCAGAGTTCCTCCTCCCCCTCCTCCTCCTCCTCCTCACCTCCTCATGCACCCATCCTCCGCCTCATCCTTCTCCACCTCCGCATCCTCCTTATCATCATCTTCCTCCTCATCCTCCTCCCCCTCCTCATCATCCTCATCATCGTCATCATCATCATCATCCTCACATCCTTCCTCCTCATCCTCATCATCGTCATCATCCTCCTCCCATCCCTCCCCTCCCTCCCGCCCTCCCTCCCTCCTCCTCCCCCTCATCCTCCAACTC